TCTGGAATTTGTAGAGTGACATCTGCTATATAAAAACTTTCTCTTTTGTTTTGAGGCATGGGAATGGAAGGCATGGGCTTTGGAATGAATAAAATGGGAGGTAAGCTGTGGTTTGGGGTTTTTGGATATGTTTTTGTAGTTTTTTGTGTGTGTGTGTCTGGCAGGGATTTGGGTGCTGGGAAATCATCACCAATTTAGGAATAATTTGATATATTTGATTTTTTTTTTTCTGAGTGTTAAAAGTGCTGGGAGGTGTGTGGGAATGGTTGATAATCCCTTAAAACACGATCAGGGGCCTCCTGAATTTAGGAGTGACATCCCTGGGGGGTTGGATGAGCCTTAAGATCCCTTCCAACCCCACCCAACCTGCTCAGTAATTCCATGATTTTATAGTGGAGTTGAGGAATTCAGGGGGTCTCAAACATGGAAGTTCAGGAGGTCTCAAGGATGGAGTTGGGAAGTTCAGGAGGTCTCCAGGATGGAGTTGGGAAGTTCAGGAGGTCTCCAAGGTGGAGTTGGGGAAGTTCAGGGGGTCTCCAAGGAGGAGTTGGGAAGTTCAGGGGGTCTCAAAGGGGGAGTTGGGGAAGTTCAGGGGGTCTCAAAGGTGGAATTGGGGAATTCAGGGGGTCTCCAGGATGGAGTTGGGAAGTTCAGGGGATCTCAAAGCTCTGTTGTTGACAAGCTGGACTTGGATGATCCTGAAGGTCCCTCCCGACCCAACCCCATCTGTAATTCCCTGATTTCAGAGTGACTTGTCCAAATTCTGCTCTGGGAATCAGCCACACAGAGTTGTCTCATCCCTGCAGCGTGGAGTTGAAATGCTTTGCTAAAGAATCCCTGGAAAATCTCTTTTTTTGTTGTTTTTTTTTTAATAGGAATGGAAGGTCCCTTCGGTGCCATGGAAAACATCGGGCGCTTCCCAGCCGGGATGAACATGGGCAGGATGACTGGTAGGCATTGGAGTTCTGTGTGTCCAACCCCTTCCTCTGTGTTCCTTGGGAGTGTATCCCTCTTCTCAGCTTTATTTGGGAATACCTGGAAGCTTTTCCAGCTGACAGAAGTGTCCCTGAATCGCTCATGGCCTCCGAGCTGTGCAAAATAAGTCATTTATTGATGCTGCTGTGAGGGGTTGGTTCCCAAAGATTCTGTGCTCAGCAGAAAGGCTTTTCCAGAGCTTCAGATATATTTGGGATGAGTCCTGCTCTTCCTTGGGGTTTTAGACTTGTGAAGACACCACAAAATGCTCCCTTACTGGGAATCTTTAAAAATGATTCTTGTGTTAAAATCTCTCAGGAGCCTTTGAGACCCCCTGAACTTCCCAATTCCATCTTTAAAACCCCCTGAACTTCCCAACTCCATCCTTGAGACCCCCTGAACTTCCCAATTCCATCTTTAAAACCCCCTGAGCTTCCCAATTCCATCCTTGACACCCCCCTGAACATCCCAATTCCACTTTCCAGAGATGGATCGTGCCATGGGGGGAGGATTTGAAAGAGAGTTTGGAAGAAATGAAATGGGAATGTCCCGAAGTTTTGGAGAGACCTTGGAGAGAGGGATAGGTGAGTACAGGAAATCAATTTGCTGCACATAAAAATCATGAGTTATAATGTGTTATAATAATGGTTTATGTTATATTTTACATATTTTACTTATATTTGCTGGAGGAGTTGGGTCAGAACCAAACAGGAGGCAGATGGGAACACATTGGGAAATGGGAGTTTCAGACTCCATTTTAGGCCCTGCAAGGGGCTCTCAGGTCTCCCTGGAGCTTTCCCTTCTCCAGGTGAACTCTCCCAGCCTGGCTCCAGAGCAGCCAGAATCCCTGCTCCAGGCAGGGAGAAATTATTTCAGGAATCTGAGGAGGTGGTGAGGGTTGTTTTTTTTTTTTGTCTGTGAATGATTCCTGATGGCCTCTGTGTTGTGTTCCAGGTGGTGGAAACGCCAGCATTCCTGGGATTGAGAGGATGGCGCCTGGCATTGATCGTATGGGCTCAGGAATAGAGAGGATTCCCGCTGGGATGGGGCACGGGATGGAGAGAGTGGGCTCAGAGATAGACAGGATGGGGCTGGTGCTGGACCGGATGGGCTCCAACGTGGAGCGGATGGGCTCGGGAATCGACCGCATGGCCCCGCTGGGCATCGACCACATCGCCCCCAACATGGAGAGGATGGGCCCGGCCATGGAGCGGATGGGCTCCGGCATAGAGCGGATGGGCTCCGGGATAGGCTTCGGCATCGACCGCATGGGCGCCGCCATCGACCGCGTGGGCGGCGCCATGGACAGGATGGGCGCGGGCGTGGAGCGCATGGGCTCGGGCATGGAGAGGATGGGCCTGGGCCTGGAGCGCATGGTGCCCGCCGGGATGGGCGCGGGCATGGGGCAGGTCCTGGAGAGGATGCCCGCGGGGCTGGAGCGCATCGGGGCCCCTCCCATGGAGCGCATCGGCATCGAGCGCATGGGAGCCGCCGGCATGGAGAGGATGGGCCTGGAGCGCATCGGAGCCACCAACATGGAGAGGATGGGCCCGCCCATGGGGCAGGGCATGGCGGCGGGCATCGAGCGCATGGGACTGGCCATGGGCAGCAACTTCGAGAGGCCCATGGACATGGAGCGGGGAAACTTCGCCGGCAACTTCGCCGGGCCCCTGGGAGGAACCGGAGGCCCCGCGGCGGGGGTGGCCCGGAAAGCCTGTCAGATCTTCGTGAGAAACGTGAGTGAGGCCTGCTCTGGCCTGCCCTTTTCCTTTCCTTCCTGCCCTTTTCCCTGCCCTTCCCACCCTTTTCCCTGCCCTTCCCGCCCTTTCCTTTCCTTCCCGCCCTTCCTTTCCTTTCCTTCCTACCCTTCCTTTCCTTTCCTTCCTACCCTTCCTTTCCTTTCCTTCCTACCCTTCCTTTCCTTTCCTTTATTCCCTTTTCCCTGCCCTTCCCGCCCTTTTCTCTTTCCCGCCTTTTTCCTTGCCTTTCCTTTGGATGCTGCCAAATTTTGGGAGCTGGAGCCGATTTCCCTTCCCAGGAGAAGAGCTCCTGGAGGACCCAGCACTCTGTGGTTCTCTCACTGGCTCTCCCGGGATTTTTGGGAGTTGGGAATGCTTGCAGATGGTTCAGCAGAGCCTCAGTAATGGTTTGTTCCTCTCTTTTCCACAGCTGCCTTTTGATTTTACATGGAAAATGCTGAAAGATAAATTCAATGAATGTGGTAAGTGATTTTTTTTTTTTTTCCCCTGGTAATTTCTGGGAGGAATGAATAGGAATATATGGCCAGTTCCTAACCCAGGGAACACCTGGGAATTACTTTCCCAAAGCTTTTTCCCCCTTTTCCATGTCTGGGTTGGGTTTATCCTGCGGATGAGACCTGAGAGCCCCTTCCAGAGCCTGAAGGGACTCCAGGAGAGCTGGAGAGGAACTGGGACAAGGCATGAGGGGACAGGACGTGGGAATGGCTTCAAACTGAAAGAGGGGAAATTTAGATGGGATATTGGGAAGGAATTCCTGGCTGGGAGGGTGGGGAGGGGCTGGGATGGATTTCCCAGAGAAGCTGTGGCCGCCCCATCCCTGGGAGTGTCCAAGGCCAGGTTGGAGCACCCTGGGATAGTGGGAGGTGTCGCTGGGGGATGATCACCGTGTCCCTTCCCACTCCCCAATCCCACAATTACCAAATCCCAACCCTGTGTCTCATCCAACCCCCTCCACCCCCGCAGGGCACGTGCTCTACGCCGACATCAAGATGGAGAACGGCAAGTCCAAGGGCTGTGGGGTGGTGCGGTTCGAGTCTCCGGAGGTGGCGGAGCGCGCGTGCCGGATGATGAACGGGATCCAGCTGCGCGGCCGCGAGATCGACGTGCGGATCGACCGCAACGCCTGAGCCCCCACCCCCCTTAAATCTCTCCAACAACCAGGGCTTTTTCTGGATTTTTTTCTCTTTTTTTTTTGTTTTATTTTACAATTTATATTTTATTTTTTTCTCTCTCTCTCTCTGTTTCTCGTTAACCATCTGAATTTTTGACTGGATGTAAAGGTGTTCCAAACCAAACCAAACCACCACCCCCCCACCCCCAGTTGCTTTTTTTCTGGAGTAAAAAAAAAAAAATATAAATTTTAAGTCCTTTTTTTAACGGGTGACACAAAAAAAAAAAAAAAAAAAAAAGCACCATTTTACCGGGTTTTTTGCATCGGAACTTGCAACGTGGCACAATCCTTTTTTTTTTGTTGGTTTTTTTTTTTTTGGGTTTTTTTTTGTAGTTTGTGGCATCTCTCGTTGACATGACAGATGTAAACAGTCGGAATTTGATAATAAAGCAAGTTAAATATTGCAGGCACGGAGAGCTTTACTGGCAGCTGAAATCCCAGCTGAGTGAACTCAGCCCTGGGTGTCCCTCTGTGGTTTTTGGGTGTTCCTCTGTCCCCAGGAGTGCTTTTGGGTGTCCCTCTGCCCCCTGGGGGTGTTTTTGGGTGTCCCTCTGTTGTTTTTGGGTGTCCCTCTTGTTTTTGGGTGTCCCTGTGTCCCCTGGGGGTGTTTTTGGGTGTCCCTCTGTCCCCGGGGTGTTTTTGGGTGTCCCTGGGTGTCCCTCTGTCGTTTTTGGGTGTCCCTCTGTTATTTTTGGGTGTCCCTCTGTCCCCTGTTTTTTTGGGTGTCCCTCTGTTATTTTTGGGTGTTCCTGGGTGTCCCTCTGTCGTTTTTGGGTGTCCCTCTGTCCCCTCCGGGGGTGTTTTTGGGTGTCCCTCTGTTATTTTTGGGTGTCCCTCTGTCGTTTTTGGGTGTCCCTCTGTTATTTTTGGGTGTCCCTCTGTCCCCCGGGGGTGTTTTTGGGTGTCCCTCTGTTGTTTTTGGGTGTCCCTCTGTCCCCAGGAGTGCTTTTGGGTGTCCCTCTGTCCTCCGGGGTGTTTTGGGTGTCCTCTTATTTTTGGGTGTCCTCTTATTTGGGTGTCCCTCTGTCCCCCCCTCTCCGTCCCTTCCCTTCCCGCCCACGTGCCCGCGGCGGTCGCGCGGCAGTGACGTCACGGCGCGGCGCCGCGCGAAGGTCACGGGCGGCGCGGGGCGATGGCGGCGGCCGCGGCCGGAGGGTGCGGGGTGAGCGGGGGGCAAACCGGGGGGCAAACCGGGGGGAAAGCCGGGCAGGGGGCAGCACCAGGGGCACCCCGAGCGGGGGCACAGCGCGGGGTGAGCGTCCTGCCCTCACCCCCTCCCCGCGGGGCCCGGCGGTGTCACCCACGGGGGACCCGCGGCCCCGGAGAGGGATCTGCCCCTGCCCGGGGCGTGGGCTGGGACTGCGTGGGCCTGAAAGCCCCTCCATCCCAAATCCCTGCCCGTGGGGTGGGACTGGATGGGTTTTAAAGCCCCTCCATCCCAAACTGCCCCTGCTTTGGGCTGGCATTGGATGGGTTTTAAACCCCCTCCATCCCAAATCCCTGCCCGTGGGGTGGGGTTGGATGGACCTTAAAGCCCCTCCATCCTAAAGTGTCCCTGCTTTGGGGTAGGATTACATGGATTTTAAACCCCCTCCATCCCAAACTGCCCTCCCCACGGGGTGGGATTGGATGGGTTTTAAACCCCCTCCATCCCAAATCCCTGCCCGTGGAGTGGGGTTGGATGAGTTTTAAACCCCCTCCGTGGCTTCAGACGGAGAGAGGGGAAATTTAAAGGGAATACTGAGCAGGAATTCCTCCCTGGGAGGGTGGGGATGGCCTGGGATGGTTTTCCATGATCCATCAGATCTTTCCTGCTCCGAGAGTTTCTTCCTGGCCCCAAACACCACTGGGAAATTCCTGATGGCTCTGGGGTGGGTTGGGTTGGGAATCAGCTCATCCCTAAATCCCAACCCTTGGAATGCTGGCTGAGCTGGGTGGGGTTTCCCTTGCAGAAGTGTCTCCTGGGTGGTTTGTGGCTCCTTTCCAGACGTTCTCCCGTCGCTGCCTTGCCCAGGAATGTGGTCAGGATGGGCATCCCCGCGCTGGACACCCCCCAGGTGGGTTGGAATTCCCAGGGTGCTTCCCGTTGGGATCCCCAGCTGGATGTGGGGCTGACCCGGAGAACGACCAGGTCTATGTGGAAAATGTCCTGGTTTTTTTAAGATAAATCCAATAAACTCAAGGAATTTTGGAATGGCTGAGGTTGGAGGGGGCTTGGAGCAACCAGGTTTTCATTTTTATTTAATTTTGTTATTTTATTAAATTTACTTTTTATTTAATTTGCTTGTTTATTTACTTTATTATATTTCTATTTACCCACCCTATTATTTATTTATTATTTTATTTACTTTGTTTATATTATTTTTATTTACTTATTTCTCCACTCTATTATCTATTTTATTTTATTACGTTATTTATTTTCTTTTAATCTACTTTTCTATTCCCTCTAATATCTATTTTTATTTATATTCTTTTCATTTACTTGTTTATTCCATTTAATTATCTAGTCTTATTCATATTCTTTTAACTGACTTGTTTACTCACTTTATTATTTATCTCTTTTATTTCATTTATTTTGTTAATATCATTTTATTGCTTATCCACTTTATTTCTTGATTTTATGCTATAATTTAATTTATTGATATTCTTTTAATTTACCTCTTTATTCCCTTCATCACCCACCTATTTTTACTTCTTTTCTTACTTTATTTCACTTTTCCCCCTAAATCCTTAGTCGTTCACTCTGGAATTTTACTTCTTCTTCCCTTAAATCCCGCTTTTTTTCCCGGTTTTCCCTCCAGTCCAGACGTTACTCCTCGGGAGGAAGGAAGGGTTTCATCTCCGGCTTCGTGGAGAACATCAAACAGGAGCTGGCCAAGAACAAGGAGATGAAGGAAAGCATCCAGAAATTCCGGGATGAGGCCAAAAAGCTGGAAGAGTCGGACGCTCTGCGGGAAGCCCGGAGGAAATACGTGAGATTTGGGGGGGAATTCCGGGGGGAATTGGGATTGGACACGACATTTAATGTGAAATTTGGTGGTGAATTTGGCATGGAAGTTAATGTGGGATTTGGTATTAAATTCGGCATTAAATTTCAGATTAAATTTGGCATTACATTTGACATTAAGATTAAATATGGCATTAAATGTGACATTAAATTTAACAAATTTGACAATAAATTTGGCATTAAATTTTAACATTAAGTTTGATATTAAATTTAAGATTAAATTTGGCATTAAATTTTAACATTAAATTTGACATCAAATATGGCATTAAATATGACATTATATTTAACAGTAAATTTGACAATAAATTTTACAATAAATTCGGCATTAAATTTGACATTAAATTTGAAATAAAATTGACATTAAATTTGGCATTAGTTTTGACAATAAATTTGGCATTAAATCTGAAATAAAATTGGCGATAAAGTTGGCATTAAATTTGAGAATACATTTGGCTTTAAATTTAACATTAAGTTTGGCATTAAATTTAAGATTAAATTTGGTATTAAATGTGACATTAAATTTGGCATGGAATTTGACAATAATTTTGGCATTAAATTTGAAATAAAATTGGCGTTAAATTTGACATTAAGTTTGGCCTTAAATTTAACATTAAATTTGACATTAAATATGGCATTAAATATGACATTATATTTAACATTATATTTAACATTAAATTTGACAATAAATTTGGCATTAAATTTTACATTAAATTTGGCTTTTAAATGTGACATTAAATTTAACATTAAATTTGCCATTCAATTCAGCATTAAATTCAACATTAAATTTGGTATTAAATTGGACATTAAATTTGGCATTAAATTTAATATTAAATTTGACATTAAATTCTACATTAAAGTTAATATTAAATTCTACCTTAAAGTTAATATTAAACTTGACATTAAATTTGGCATTAAATTTCATATTAAATTTGGCATTAACTTCGACATTGAATGTGGCACTAAATCTAGCATTAAATTTAATATTAAATTCGACATTAAATTTGGCACTAAATTTCACATTAAATCTGGCATTAAATTCAATACTAAATTTAACATTAAAATTAACATTAAATTTGGCACCAAATTGGTTTTCAGAGCTCTAAACATTATTTACCAAACTTGAACTGGTGGCTCAAGTGAGGGGCTCCTAAAATGGAAATTTTTTGCCCTCAATTCCATCTTTAAAGGGTTTTTTGGGGGAAGTTTTGATCATGTTGTTGTTTTTTTTTCCCCCAGAAAACCATCGAATCCGAAACGGTGAAAACTTCTGAAGTGATTAAAAAGAAACTTGAAGAAATAACAGGGACAGTTAAAGAGGTAAAAGAACCTTTCCCTGAGGAAATTCAGCTTTAAGTGGGAATAATTTGAATTATCACCTTTTTTTTTTTTTTTTCCCTCCTCTCTGGGTTGATTTTCTAAATTAGGAACAAACTGAGCTTTTTTTGGAACCTTTATTTTTTTTTTTTTGCTGCTCCTTGATGTTTAAAACCCTTAAAATTCCCATTTCTGCCTCACAGCATCTCTTCCATCCAGAGCTTTTCCAGGGAGGGATCACACTGGATTTCACAGGGAGCACTGGAGGTGTTTTCCAGAATATTCCTCTATAAAATAACAACCACACGACATTTTGGCCCACAAAATTCACACCCATTAAATAAAACCTCAGACTGGGGAAAAGCTCTATTAAAAAAACCCTTTCTGCCCCCCCCCAGGAGTTTGAATTTTTCCTGTGCAACAGCTCTTTTTTGGGGGGACAAAGATTAAAATTCCGAGTCTTTTGGAGCAGATTAATTAAGAAAATTGCGGCAGGAGTGGATTAATTTGATATTTAATTGATGTGTGCTCAGAGGACTGGCACATTCCAGGGATTCCTCTTGGATTTGGAGGGCACAGAGAGCAGCTCTGGGATCCCAAAATGAGGATGAGGAGCTGCTGGAGCAAATCCCGGGGAGGCTGCTCTGGGTGTGACTCTGAAGCAACCCAGTTCTAGGTGGAAAATTCCCTTTTTTTTGTTGTTTTTATTTAAAGATACAGCTGGTGAACTGCAGGGATTTTGGAGTAGCTGAGGTTGGGAAGGGGTTTGGAGCAAGCTGGTCTAGTGGGAGTTGTCACTGCTCGGGGTCCCTTCCAACCCAAACCAGGCTGGGATTTGGGAGCCAGCTGGGAGGGTTCACCTGGAAAAGGTGAACCAGGGAGACCTGAGAGCTCCTTCCAGGCCTGAAGGGGCTCCAGGAGAGCTGGGGAGGGATTGGGATGAGGACAAGGAGCTGCTGTGACCTCTCCTCCCCTGTGGCAGAGCTTGGACGAGGTCAGCAAAAGCGACATCGGCCGCAGGATAAAGGAGGGCGTGGAAGAAGCGGCCAAAACGGCCAAACAATCAGCAGAGTCGGTCACAAAAGGAGGGGAGAAGCTGGGCAGGACAGCAGCCTTCAAAGCCATCTCTCAGGTGCACAATCCACTGGCATCCAGGTGGCCCTGGGGACGGGAATGTGGGAGCTGGGGATGGGGTGGCTGAGCCGCTGGAAGGTGTCCCTGGGAATGGGAGTTGCTGGGTTTGGGGAGTAGGGCAGAGGATCCTTCCCCAGGCAGGCACCTGGTGGTGGTTTGGGAACGACAGGCTGCCCCAAAGCTTGGATTTGGTGGGAAAATATCGAAGGGTTTGTGTGTTTTGATGTCACCCAGGTCGGGTTGGAAAAGGGAAGGCTCCAGGGAGACTTTGGAGCTTCTTCCAGGGCCTTGAAGGGGCTCCAGGAGAGCTGGAGAGGGACTGGGGACAAGGGATGGAGGGACAGGACACAGGGAATGGCTTCAAACTGAAATTTAGATGGGATATTGGGAAGGAATTCCTGGCTGGGATGGAATTCCTAAAGAAGCTGTGGCTGCCCCATCCCTGGGAGTGTCCCAGGCCAGGCTGGAGAAGGGAAAACTCCAGGGGCAGTTTCTGGGAAAGGTGAGGGGACAACAAATCCGACCTAACAGGGATTCTTTTCCTTTCTAGGGAGTAGAAAGTGTGAAGAAGGAAATAGATGAAAGTGTTTTAGGGCAAACTGGTCCCTACAAACGTCCGGAGCGGCTCCGAAAACGAACGGAATATTCAGGAGAGAGGATCAAAGAGGAGAGGATATTTGAGGCCAATGAGTGGGTATTGGGCTCTTCTGGGGTGGATATTTCTGTGTCCAACTGAACAAAAACCTTCCAAAGTGAACTAGAGGGCAGGGGGTTAAAATCCAGGGCAGGGCAGGGAACTCCAAGGGCACATTCCCAGCAGGAGCTGATGATCCTGAGGCTTCCCCAGAGTGAAACCAGGCACTTAAAAATTCCAGATGTGGTGATAGGAGATGAAATTTTGACTTGGGCACGTGTTTTGTTGTCAGTTTTAACATCTGGAATCAGGCTTGGCAGGGCTAGGCCTGAGCTCCTTTGCTTTCCCTGCTGCCTTGAGCCTCCAAGTCAGGTATTATTTATGTGCTGTATTATTTCCCTGCTGTGTCAATTATGGGGTGTCTGATTAATTAATGGGGTTATAATTCAGCTGGTGTGTCACTGATGGGGTGTTTCATTGATTTATGGGGGTTATAATTTACCTGGTGTATGATTGATGGGCTTCTCATTGTCTTATCACGTTCTGTATCGGCTTCAGCGCTGCAGGGATGTCCCTCCCCTTTATCCCCTTTAATCTCCCAGTGTTGTAAGTTGATTTTCTCCCAAGAATCCCTGTTCCATCCCTGTTTCCCGCCCTTTCCAGGGAGGCCATGGGAATGGTGCTGCACAAAGACTCCAAGTGGTACCAGCAGTGGAAAGATTTCAAGGACAACAACGTGGTTTTCAACAGTGAGTGTTTGGGAGGTTCAGAGGCAAAGCAGGAGCTCCCTCTTTTCCCAGCCCTGATTCCTGCTGTGTGGATCTCGTTCTGTCTGCTGCCACCAGCCTGGAATGGAATGCAAATCCCAAAATCCCAGCCTCACTGATGTGTGGCTATTTCAGTAAAAATTGGGCAAGACTTAAAAAGTCCGTCCTGTGATTTTCCTCCCCTCTGCCCTGGTGTTGGTTTGACATCTTCCTTGCAGGAGATGAATTGAGGGCTGTGAGCCTGTTCCTGGTGTAACCAGGCTGTTCCTGGTGTAACCAGGCTGTTCCTGGTGTAACCAGGCTGTTCCTGGTGCAGGGGCAGTTTCCTGGTGTGTTTTCTACCTGCAAATCTCCCAGAAGCTCCAAGGTTTGTGGAGGGTGAAGCGAGAGAGGAGCATTTACTGAGAGCTGGGAAGGAGGACGAGCGGAGAAGCCGCTCGGGGTCGGTGCCTGCTGCGAACCAGGGGATTTAGGAGGGAACTGGGAGCTCGGATTTCCAAACCCTGGCGGTTTTCCTGGATCAGGATGGGCTCTGAGCTCGCTCTGCTCTCCTGGCAGGGTTCTTTGAGATGAAGATGAAGTACGACGAGAGCGACAACGCCTTCATCCGAGCGTCGCGGGCCGTCACCGACAAAGTCACCGACTTGATAGGTAACAGCTCCTCCTCTGCTCCTCATGGTGCTATTTCCCAGCTTTTTGGGGCAGCTCCTGGAGCTTCCCAGCATTTTCCCTGCGTTTTGCCTGGATCCTTGTCCAGGATGCCGCGGTGGAGCGGCGGGATCTGAGATGACAAATCCTCGTGTGGGATAAATCTCAGGCTTAACTAAAAACCTGGAGTTGTTCCTCCCCTGCTGCATCACCAGGAGGTCTTGCCTTGTTTTCCCCCCCGGGGATGGTTTTGTGCCTTCTTTTTCCCCCCTGGGGATGGTTTTTGTGCCACTGACTTGTTTTCCCAGGTGGATTGTTCTCCAAGACGGAGATGTCGGAGGTGTTGACGGAGATCCTCAAGGTGGATCCCTCCTTCGACAAGGATCGTTTCCTGAAGCAGTGTGAGCGGGACATCATCCCCAACGTCCTGGAGGTGAGAGGAGAAACATCCCCTGCGTTTATTTTCCCTTTTAAAAGATCATTTTTTTACTTGATTCTTTCATTTTTCCATCGATCCGGTGAAAAGCTGGGACAGGATTTGCTCCTCAGACACCCAGAACCTTGGGAAAGGAAGTTGGAGCCCATTTAGTTTTTGTATTTCATTATTTAAAAGATTAATAAATTCCTTTTCTGGCCTAGAAAACACCAAATCATCCTCTGTCCCGAGAAATGATGTGGGATCAGAGAGATCAAAGGGAAGGGAGGGTGATAAAAAATGGATAAGGGAAGGAATTTGGGGTGTGCCAGCGGGTTCTGAAGGATCTGGGACTCAGGGAGAAGAGCAGGTTCAGTGGGAATATTTCTGGGAATTGTGTGGAATTGGATGTTTTTAGGGACTCAGAGCAGCAGTGATGAAGGATGTGAGAGGGAATCTGAATGGATTTACTTCCCTGTCACTGCACTGAGGCAGGAAATCCACAGGGAAAAGGGGATTTGAAATCCAGCAGGAACTGAGAGAGGTTTGTAAGAGTGGAAAAACACCCTGAGAGGAGCAAAGTGAGAGGATCCCACCTCGGATTAACACCTGCTGACCCACATCCCAAAATCCCTCTGATCCTCCTGCTCCGGGAAGGGCCTTAAAGGAGGAATAAAAACTGATTTGGGGAATAAAACTGGATCCCAACAGGGCTGAAAACTTCCCAGGTTTGATCCTCCTGCTTCTGTCTGATCCCACCCCTCAGGATTCCCCCAGGAGTGGGAATTCTGGCGACTTTTTGGGGAAGTTTGAGCAGGAAAGTTCAAGGGGAAAAGTCCCCCCAGGAAGGTTTAGGAGCTTTCTGTGCATTGGACTTGGATCAGGGGGGTTTCTGCAAGTCCTTGTTGCTGTTCCTCTTCCAAACTCCACAAAATTCGGGATTTAAGGAGTTCTGCTGCTGGAATTGCTGGTTGTTTCCACCCTGCTGTGGGAGGTGTGTTAGAATATCCCTGTTTGATTCCCTTTTCCCAGGCTCTGATCTCCGGGGAGCTCGAGATCCTCAAAGATTGGTGCTACGAGGCGGTGAGTGGAGCCTTTGGGAATGGCCTGGAAAAGGGTGGGAATCTCCCTTTGGAAGTGGGTTTGTTAGGCCTGGTTATCCTGGGGAAGAGGCTGAGAGGGGGATTTCTGTGTTTTGATGATAATATAAGATATGATGTGAAGGGTGGGGGAGCAGAGAGCGGGACAGGGGGCTGAGATCCCGGAAATTCCATGTAAACACAAGGGAAAACTCGTCATTCCAGCGGCTCATCCTGGCAGGATGGAGCTTTGTTAGGGAGGGAATTGCAGCCTGGGTGGGCTGGACTGCAGGAAAACTGGAGTTGGGCTTGTTTGGAAAGTGATTTTTGAGGAGGTTTTGGGTCCTGGATCCATGGCTGGAAGCGGGGAATGGGAGTTGGTTGGAATTCAGGGATGGTTTGGCTCCAGGGAAGCAGAGCCTTGCCTGAAAATGGAGTTTGTTCTGGGCCTCCCTCCTCCAAAAGGATTGGGATGTAGAGTCCAAAATGGTTGGGATGTAGAGTCCAAAATAATTGTGTTTAAAATCCAAAATAATTGAGATGTAAAATCCTAAATAATTGTGTTTAAAATCCAAAATAATCGGGATGTGGAATCCAGAATAGTTGTGATTTAGAACCCAAATTAATGATGTTTAAAATCCAAAATAATTGGGCTGTAGAATCCAAAATAATTGGGATGTAAAATCCTAAATAATTGTGTTTAAAATCCAAAATATTTCTGTTTAAAATCCAACATAATTGCGTTTTAGTCCCCAAAATAAGTGGATTTTAGGCCCCAAAAGACTGAATTTCCCAGGGTGAGTCTCCTCCATGTCCCACCACCAGAGGGCCGGCAGAGGCAGTTTTTTCCCATTAAATCTATTCCCAGGAACATCTTTGTCCTGATTTTGTGGAGACTTCCAGCATCCTGAAAGCAAAAAAAAAGAAAAAAAAATAATAATTTCCTTTTTTTGGCTCAGAAATGCCAACAGAGGATCCCTCTGGGAAAAACAACGGATTCCTTGGCACTTCCTCCAACCAAAAATCCAACATTTCAGAGCTGGTTGTAATTAGAAATTCCAGCTCTGAAATCCAGAACCAACCAGGGCAGGAAATGGGAGAATATTCCTGATATTTAGATATAAAACTCCTTAATGGAGCTGCAATATCCCAGCACATCCCTCTTCCCTTTTCTTTCACTGCTTCTCTCTGCGTGGAAATTCCCGAGGCTTTTTTTTGGGGGACAGGAAGATTTCAAAGGGTTTTTGTTGTTTTCCAGACTTACAGCCAGCTGGCTCATCCCATCCAACAGGCCAAAGCCCTGGGGCTCCAGTTCCATTCCAGGATCCTGGACATCGACAACATCGACGTGAGTGTCCTGGGATTTCACTCTGAGGGGACTGAATTCGACTCGGGAGGGGTTTTCTTGGAATTGTTAAGGTTGGGAAACGCCTCCAGGATCATCAAATCTGAAGAGTTTTTGCTTTAACTGGTTGGGTTTTGCCTCTGGTGTTGGGAATCTTTGCTCCCACAGGGACAGATCCCAGGGCTGGAAGGGAGAATTCCAATGCTGGGAGGGAGAATTCCAGTGCTGGAAGGGAGAATCCCACTCTGGAAGGGAGAATCCCACTGCTAGAAGGGAGAATCCCACTCTGGAAGGGAAAATCCCATTTCTGGGAGGGAGAATCCCACTCTGGAAGGGAGAATCCCACTGCTGGAAGAGAAGATCCCATTGCTAGAAGGGAGAATCCCACTGCTGGAAGAGAAGATCCCATTGCTAGAAGGGAGAATCCCACTCTGGAAGGGAGAATCCTACTCTGGAAGGGAGAATTCCAATGCTGGAAGGGAGAATCCCACTCTGGAAAGGAGAATCCCACTGCTGGAAGGGAGAATTCCAGTGCTGGGAGGGAGAATCCCACTCTGGAAGGGAGAATCCTACTGCTGGAAGGGAAAATTCCACTGCTGGAAGGCAGAATCCCACTGCTGGAAGTGAAAACTCCTGGAATTGTGGGATCCAGCCCCAAGCCTGTGGTTTGTGTCCTTGCTCTCAGGGCACCTTGGCTTGGCTCAGCAGCAGATGGATGGAGGAAGGCTAATCCTAAAGGCAAACAAAAACACATTCCCAGGGAATTCAGGGAAGGATGATGGACATTCCTGCCCGTGGCTCAAGGTTGTGCAGGGCAGGAATGGCTGGAGGGAGTCTGGGCTGCTCTTCTGGAACGTTCTGCATGGTTCTGGATGGGCTGTGTGGCTCCCTGAGGGCGCCACTGGGATTTGGGATCTCTGGGATCCCGGTATGGGAAGGACATGGAGATGTTGGAGCGCGAGGCCAGAGGAGGCACCAGAAGTGTCCAAGAGCAGGTTGGAACAACCTGGGACAGTGGAAGGTGTGGGGGTAGGACTGGATGATCCCCAATTTCTCTTCCAACCCCAAGCATTCCATGTGGTGACGTGGCCAAGGATCTGCTCCATCCCGGTGCTCCCACATCCCGTTTTCCCGAGGAGTTGTTCCTGCTCCAGAACATCCTCAGCAGTTCTGGCACTTAATGAAGCTTTTTTTAGCCTCACCTCTCTGGGATCAGCTCCAAACACTGTCCCAGTGATGGAATTTTCAGGGATCATGGCACTAAAAGCACAGCAATCCCAGCCTGGAATTTTGGAAATGGCGAATATCCGTGCTGGAAACGGCTCCGATCCCTTTTGGGATCCGGGGTTTTGGGGTGGAAAACTGGGTTGTGTTTGGGTGGATGAGTCAGGGGCAGCTGCAGGCACGTGGTGTGGAGTTCCTGCCGAGCTGGGAGCTGATTCCTTGGAAGTGGGCACAGGAACGTTGCAGTGGTGCTGAGTTTTCCTCAGGGGAGAGGAAATCTACCTCGAAATATATATATTTTGATGCCTTTGTGGCCATCTCCTGTGATGCTCCCTTTGTTATGGGATAAAACACCCTGGTTTTTGGGACTGCCTCTCATTTTAAAGAGCAAAAGTCCCGCTGCCTTCAGTGGGATTCATTTTTTTTTTATTATTATTATTTTGGAAGTTCAAAATATTCCACAGCTCCCTGCATTGCCACAAAAACACAAAGAGGGGGTTCTGCTTTTTTAAGAGCTCTGGGGATGAAAAATAATATAAAAAAATAACCTTAATTCTCCATTCCTGTATGTGTGGCAGTTAATAAGTTCTTTAAATATTTAAGGGAGCAACCTTAGAATAAAGAGGGGGGAGAAAAAAATATCCTGGCCAACAAAAGATTCACACTTGGAAATATTTCTGGTGCTTTTTGCCTGATCCTGTGAGACTGGAGGGCAAAAATTCCTTTAAAAGCAAGAGAAAAGCCTTGGGGGGTCCCTTCCCCCTCAGGATATTATATCAGATAGAATATCTGATTAACAGAGGAGCTGATGGAAAGAACTGGATCAGCCCTGGGAGAGGGTGGGAATGTCCAACTGGATGTTCCTTCGGGGATCAGCAGGAATTTGCTGGTTTTCTGAGGGAATTTGCTGTGTTTTCTGATGGAATTTGCTGGTTTTCTGAGGGAATTTGCTGGTTTTCTGAGGGAATTTGCTGGTTTTCTTACAGAATTTGCTGGTTTTCTGAGGGAATTTGCTGGTTTTCTGATGGAATTTTCTAGTTTTCTGATGGAATTTTCTGGTTTTCTGAGGGAATTTCCTTGTTTTGTGCTGGGATTTACTGGTTTTCTGAGGGAATTTGCTGGTTTTTTGATGGAAATTGCTGGTTTTCTGATGGAATTCCCTCTCCTTGCAGCTGGCCATGGGGAAGATGATGGAGCAGGGACCAGTTTTAATCATCACCTTCCAGGCTCAGGTGGTGATGGTGATAAAGAACCACAAAGGGGAGGTGGTGGAAGGAGATCCGGTGAGTGGGGTTTTGGGACAGCTCTGACCTCTTCCCTCCACCTCATCCTGCTCTTTTTCCCACCTTTTTTCCCTTCCTAAAAAGCCCTGGAAGATCCTTTGCTGATCAGGGGGTTTGGATTGAAGTAATTTGCAGTTGCTGGGGAAATCACTCCGTTAAAATCACTCAAAAATCACTCAAAATCACTCCAAATGCACTTAAACCACCCAAATAAAGCCCCACAAGCCCCTTATTCCATGAAATTCCATAAAATTCCATAAAATTCCCACCCATCCACTTGGGATGTGGTTCCTGGGGGAGCCTCTGACAGGGAATGATTTGTGGAGCAAATCCCTGGCACCTCCTTGGGCTGGAGTGATGTCAACCTGTCAGAATATCCTTGTTCCCAGAATTAATGACAACAGCAGCCTCTGGAATAGCTTTATTCCCAGGAGTTATCGCCCAGACAGCTCCAACTTGGAATAATTAACTAGCTTAGTGATGGCTGATGGGAGATGGCTGGAGCTGGCACTTCCCAACGTGTTTTCCTTGGGATTAATACCTGCATTTAATATAGAAATAATTTATATTAATAAATATTGGATTTTTTTTTTGCAAGCCTCATCTTTAGGCCAGGCTGGAATTTAAAAATAAAAAAAAAAAAGAATAAAACCAGGATTAATTTGAATTCTGGGGGCCCATCTGGGGCTGATTTACAACCTGTCACTGGGGCTGCAGGGGAGGAACAGCTGATCCTGGGATTCCTTGCATTAAATTCCTGCCTTCCTGGGAGATGGGTATTGATGGGATAATTATTGGACAGGATATCAAAAGGCTGTTCGCTGTCTGCTTCCTGGGGGGCAGCAATAAATCAAGGAGATGCATGAAAAGCCTGCCCTGGAAACCAAACTGGAGCTTTATAATCCAGTGGCAGCCTCTGGGGAAGGGGGGGACTGGGATTTCCTGAAGGAAAAAAGGCGTTTTAGGCCAAGAGGAGCCTCAAATCCATGGAATCCCAGGAAGATTCTGGTTGGAAGGGGTCTTAAAGCTCATCCTCAAACACTTTCCACTATCCCAGCCTGCCCCAACCTGAGGGCTCTTTGGGGCAGCCACAACTTCCAGCTGTAAATTGGAAATTCTCCATCGCTTGTCATTCCCCCTGGGATTTTACCCCGCTTGGAATTGTTCAGGTTCCCCAGAAAATCCAGAGGAGGAGGCCTTGGACAACCAGCAGCTTTTCAGATTAAGATATTCCCTGTTAATTAAGAGCAGCAGCTCACAAAATCCCTTTGGGAACACTTTCATTTTCGTGTTCAGTTCAAGCCACTTTATCTGGGGCTTGTTCCGAGTGGTTTATCCTCAGGAAGGATCCATGGGATGCCCATGGTGTTTTCCTTCTCTTATCCCCTCTTTTCCCTCCAAAAACTCCCAACTTTTACCCCTTTGGAGCAGAACTGCAGCAAATTCATCTAAAAAAAAATAAAATAAAATAAAAAAGTAGCTTTAAAACATTTCCAAATGCAGCTCCCAGGGGAAGGAGCTGCAGCCACGGGAAAGCTCCTAAATTTGATGGAAGATTCCAGCCCAGGTAGTTTTGAAAATTCAGAAATTTCTGCTTTAAAAAAATAAAAAATACCAAAAAAAAACCCCAAACAAACTCCAAACAAGGTCAAGTCTTATCCAGGTTGACAGTGGTGCCTCCTAAATGTGTGTCAGCCAGGGATGTTTGGGAAGCCTCCTTCTAATTTTGGCAAATCGGCGAGTTTGATCTTGTTTTCCTGCCTGGGATGAAGTTCCAAGGGAGGGAAGATGGGAGCAGAGGGGAAAATCACAGGAACAGTCCCTGGGGGAGCGAAATCCTGGAATTATTAAGGTTAAAAAGGAGCTTTGGGGTCATCAGTCCAACCATCACCACTGATCCACGTCCCCAAGTGCCACAGCCCCCCAAAATGGGAACTGGGAGTTGGGAGCCCCCTCAGCTCCATCAGAAACGAGGATCCTTTCCCCCCAGACTGGGAATTGGGAATTGGGAGCCCCCTCAGCTCCATCAGAAATGTGGATCCTTTTTCCTCAGAGCTGGGAATTTGGAATCCCTTTTCTCTAGGCTGAGCTCCCCCCAGCTCCCTCAGATCCATCAGAAATGAGGATCCTTTCCCCCTAAACTGGGAATTGGGAGCCCTCTCAGATCCATCAGAAATGAGGATCCTTTTCCCCTAAACTGGGAACTGGGAATTGGGAGCCCCTTTTCTGCAGGCTGAGCCCCCTCAGATCCATCAGAAATGTGGATCCTTTTCCCCTGGAGCTGGAAGCTCTTTTTCTCCAGGCTGAGCTCCCTCAGATCCATCAGAAACGTGGATCCTTTCCCCCTAAACTGGGAATTGGGAGCCCCCTCAAATCCATCAGAAATGTGGATCCTTTTTCCTCAGAGCTGGGAATTGGGAATCCCTTTTCTCCAGGCTGAGCCCCCTCAGATCCATCAGAATTGTGGATCCTTTCCCCCTAAACTGGGAATTGGGAGCCCCCTCAAATCCATCAGAAATGTGGATCCTTTTTCCTCAGAGCTGGGAATTGGGAGCCCCTTTCCTCCAGGCTGAGCCCCCTCAAATCCATCAGAAATGAGAATCGGGCCCCCTACCTGGGCTGAGCCCCCTCAGATCCATCAGAAATGGGATCCTTTTCCCCAAACTGGGAATTGGGATCTCCTTCCTGCTGTCTCATCTCCCTCAGAAACACAGATCCTGTCCCCCCAAACTGGGAATTGGGAATTGGGAGCCCCTTTTCTGCAGGCTGTTCCCCCCCCATCTCCCTCAGATTCATCAGAAATGAGGATCCTTTCCCCCTAAACTGGGAATTGGGAGCCCCCTCAGATCCATCAGAAATGTGGATCCTTTCCCCCCAAACTGGGAACTGGGAATTGGGAGCCCCTTTTCTGCAGGCTGAGCTCCCTCAGATCCATCAGAAAAATGGATTCTTTTCCCCTGGAGCTGGAAGCTCTTTTTCTCCAGGCTGAGCTCCCTCAGATCCATCAGAAACGTGGATCCTTTCCCCCTAAACTGGGAATTGAGAGCCCCCTCAAATCCATCAGAAATGTGGATCCTTTCCCCTAAACTGGGAACTGGGAATTGGGAGCCCCTTTTCTGCAGGCTGAGCCCCCTCAGATCCATCAGAATTGTGGATCCTTTCCCCCTAAACTGGGAATTAGGAGTTGGGAGCCCCTTTCCTCCAGGCTGAGCCCCCTCAAATCCATCAAAAATGAGAATCCATTCCCCTTAATCTGGGAACTGGGATCTCCTTCCTGCTGTCTCAGCTCCCTCAGAAATGCAGATCCTGTCCCCCTAGACTGGGAATTGGGAGTTGGGAGCCCCTTTTCTCCAGGCTGATCCCCCCCCATCTCCCTCAGCAACGCGGATCCCACCCCTGGGAGCCGGGAGCCGTGTCCCTGCCCCCCTGTTATCCCAGGATTTTCCTTGCAGGAGAAGGTGCTGCGGATGCTCTACGTGTGGGCCCTGTGCCGGGACCAGGACGAGCTCAACCCCTACGCGGCCTGGAGGCTCCTGGACATCTCCTCGTCCAGCACCGAGCAGGTCCTGTGAGGAATCGGCCGCACCCGGGGCCTTCCCGAACCTCTGGAGCTCCGAGCTCGCCCCAGCCTGCTGGACTGTGGGGTGGGGAAAAACCAGGCTGGGGGATTTTTTTTGGAGGGTGTGGATTTTTGGGAGAGCAGGTTCCCAAATCCCCCCAGGGAGCTGGGCTGGGGTGCCCTCCCTGCCCCCCCTGCTTTGCTGTGCCCGAGGGTTTATAGAGCTCAACCTCTGAGACACGGCTTGGTCCTTCTTTCATCGTGCCTGGAGGAGGCTCCCGAGGGTCTCCCAGGATTCCAGCGAGGTGGGAATGAGGGGGGAGCCGTTCCCAGCTGCAGTTCCCACCTCTGGTGGCCTCGTGGTTTTTTTATTTTTGCTCTCGGTTGACACAACATCTCCTGTCCCAGCTCCACCACCAGGCCTTGTGGCCCTGCCTTGCACTTTACCGAGCCAAATACAAGCGGGACTTTGCACGTGGAGTCAAGGCTGGATTTGTGGGAGCACCAGGAAGGTCGGGAATGGGGGCTGGGGGGCGGTGTCTGGTCTGTTCTTCGTGTCCTTGGTGCCACCAGAGAGCCCCAGCATTGTTGGGGTGGGGAGGAGGTGGAGGAGGAGGAGGAGCAGAGGGGGTGGGAAAAGTGGGATAAAGGAGGAGGGAGAGCAGGTGGAGGGAGCAGTGGGAAAGTGAGGAGCAGGTGGAGTGTCAGGAATGGGAAGATGAGGAGGGAGCAGATGGAATGTCAGAGGAGTGGGAAGGTGAGGAGCAGGAGGAATGTCAGGAGTGGGAAGGTGAGAAGGAGCAGGTGGAGTGTTCAGGAATGGGAAGGTGAGGAGGGAGCAGATGGAATGTCAGAGGAGTGGGAAGGTGAGGATGGAGCAGGTGGAGTGTTCAGGAATGGGAAGGTGAGGAATGGGAAAGTGAGGGAGCAGGTGGAGCGTCAGAGGGAGCGGGAAGGTGAGGAGGAGATGGAGTGTCAGGAGTGGGAAAGGAGGGAACAGGTGGAGTGTCAGGAGTGGGAAGATGAAGAGGGAGCAGATGGAATGTCAGAGGAATGGGAAGGTGAGGAACAGGTGGAATGCCAGGAGTGGGAAGGTGAGGAGGAGCAGGAGCAGTGCCAGGACAGCCCAGGGTGGGGCAGGACAGCCCTGCCTTGACATTCTGATTAAAGACAACCGTGGCCAGTCCTTCCTTCTCTCCTGAGTGTCCAGAGCAGTTCCTTGGAGAAATGGGATCCTCTCCCAGCCCCGGGGGGACACGGGAACCTCAGGCAGCTTTTGGGAGGGTGGCAAATCCACCAGCAGGTCCTCTCGAGTGTCTGGTTGCCCCGCTGGGTGTTTTGGTGGCCCCCCAGGGCAGGCTGTGGGGGTGGGAGGGGGGTGATCCCTGCTGCCTTGGGATGGCTGTGACACCTCCCAGATAACCCCACAATTCCCTTCTTGGATGATCTGACCACCTGCCAGGCTCCATCCCTCCCTGCCAGGCTCCATCCCTCCCTGCCAGGCTCTTCCCCAGCCTCTCCAGCACGGCTCTCATGGAGATTCCATGGAATCACAGCCCATTCCCAGGGCTGGACGACCCTTTCCATGGACAAATAAACCTGATACCCAACCTAAACCTCCCCCTGGGGCAACTTGAGGACTCCTCCACGTGCGTTCCCATCCCACCAACATTCCCACTCCCACCTGTGCTCCCCCCCCCCCGGATGTTTTTCCTCGCCCGGGATGCAGCCGTGGATGGGATTCAGGGATACCTGGATGCGGGCGGGAAGGGGAGGGAGGAGCGAACTCTCGGTGTGAAGCAGCTGCTAAAAGGCTGCGAAGCCTCCCGGTGTTTTTCCCACTTCCCATCCCCGCCCCGGCGCCGTCCCGAAGATCCCCGCTGGGAATTGGTGATCCCGAGAAACCCCGGGATGCGCCTGCTGGAGGGAGAGGAGCTGCTGGCACTGCCAGCCCTGGCTGGCTGTGCCCAGAGCCAGCCCACACACAGCTGGAGCTCTTGGCATCATCCTCGGGGATCTGTGCGAGGAAAGGTTTTTCCATGGATTCGGGTGGCTCGTGTGGGGTTCCCATGCCAGGAGGAGCATTGCCCACCCCAAAATCCGGGGTCTGAATCCCAATCTGAATCTAAATCTGGGAGGAGGGGAGGGGGGGGTTCACCTGAGTGTCTCCCAGGGGGTGAATCCCAGCAGGAAAACTGGAGGAGATCCAGGAATCCAGCTCCAAAACACCCTGGGGCACTCAGGCAGCTCCAGCTTTGCTTCCCAGGCCATGGATGGTGACTCCTGGAATCCTTTGGAGCATCCCATGGACCACCTTCCCTCCTGAGGCCGGGATGTCTCCCAGGGAAGCAGAGTTGCCATGGGAATGGTGACTCACGGCTCTCCCAGCGCTGGAAGCTGCTCCAGGAGCGGCTCTGCCATTCCGGGGGCGTCTCTCGGCTCTGTGGGATCCACCTGGATGAAGGGGCCTTGCTTTGCCTCCACCTGCTTTTCCCTTTAAACCAGAGGGGGGGATTTTCCCTCTTTTTTCTCATCCCCCTTTAGGAGCTGGAAGGGGGAGTCTGGAATGTGGGGCCTGCACGGAAGAGCCCGAGGCAAAAAATCCTTTGGGATTTGAGGCTGGAGTGGGGCCCAGGAGGGAAATCAGGGGAAGGTGCTGAGGTTTTTTGAGGTGGAAGGAGTGGAACTGGATGGGCTTTAAGGTCCTTTCCACCCACACCAGGCTGGAATTCCATGAGATTTCCCACTGGGAAGGCTGGACCTTCCCCTCTGTTCTCCCCAAGCGCTCAGGGCTTCACCCCCACCCTTGTTCTGTGGGAACTGGAACAGAACTTTGCACCCCAAACCCTTCCCTGAGGATCCTCTTCAGCCATTTCCCAGTTTTCCCGCCTGATTTGGCTGGAATGGGCACAACCCTGATGATCCCTCCCTGCACTCTGCTCCTGAAAGCCATTCCCTAGGGAATTCCAGCTGAAATCCTCCTCCCTGGCCTCTCCTGGCACGGGGGTTGCTCCTTCCCAGCCCTCAGCAGGCGGAGTTTTCCCTGCCAAGCTCCAGCTCCAGGGAATGTCGGTGCCAAGCCCTCCTTCAGGAACAATTCACAGAGTGGGGGAGGTGTTTTCTGAATGAGCTCTGGTTCATCCCAGGGCCCTGCCTGGCCCGGGAACAGCTCCCTGGAACAGCAGCTGCCTCTCAAGGTGCTCCAAATCATCAGCCAAACCCTCTGAGATGGTGTGGGGGTGGTTTTTTTGGGGGTAAGGAACCAGTCCAGGATCATTTTCCTCCTTTATTAGAGGAGCTCCAGGTGCTGGGAGCTCTCCCTGGGAGCTGCTGGGAGCACTGGGGGCTTAGTCAGGCTGGTTGGAGGGATGATGAGTTCCTGGGGAATGTGTGGATTCTTCTGGCTGTGACTGTCCCTCCAAATATATATATATATTTTTAAAAAAGAGATTAATTAAGGCAAATGCTTTAAGAACATTTTTCCCCCCCTGCGCTTTCCCAGAAAGCACAGGGAGGAAATTCCACTTTGAGAGGCTCTTCCTGGCACAGAGAAGCTGTGGCTGCCCCAGCCCTGGGAGTGTCCAAGGCCAGGCTGGAGAAGGGAAGGATCCAGGGAGACCTCAGAGCCCTTTCCAGGGCCTTAAAGGGGTTCCAGGAGAGCTGGAGAGGGGCTGGGGACAAGGGATGGAGGGACAGGACACAGGGAGTGACTTCAAACTGAAATTTAGATGGGATATTGGGAAGGAATTCCTGGCTGGAGGGTGGGGAGGGGCTGGGATGGAATTCCCAGAGAAGCTGTGGCTGCTCCATCCCTGGAAGTGTCCAAGGCCAGGTTGGAGCACCCTGGGCTAGTGGGAAGTGTCCCATGGCAGGAGCTGGACCTGGATGAGCTTTAAGTCCTTCCAACCCAACCCATTCCCTGATTCCACCAAGGAAGCAGCTGTTTGGTGGGATTTGCATGTTATTTCCGACTGGAACCACTTCCAAAAAAATAATATCCCCCTTTTTAACTTCAGGGAAGCATTTTCCCGAAATCCGCTGAAAACCCGCCGGGCTTTTGAGGGAATCCTTTCCCCCCCTGCCCCAGGGAGGTTTGATCTGGGAAAGGATCCAAGATCCAACCCCCCCACCCCTCCTGACAGGCTCTGATCGCAGCGAGCTCTCCCCAGAGCTCACATTTCCCTGGAAACACGAGCGGCAGCGGCTGGATCCGGGTCCCCCTCCCCACGCGCGTGGGGTGGGACCTCTCCCCGCGTTTCTCATCCCAAGGCTCGGGATGCGGCTCTGCCCCGAGGGAGGACGAGACACCACCCACCCCCCCCACCCTGAGCTCTCCCTCCGGCACCTCCACTGTCCCGTTTTCCCGGGAATGTCTCGCATCCGTTGCCATGGAGACACCGAAGCCGCGCGCGCCGCCACTTTTCCATGGCTTTTTTTCCCTTTTTTTTTTGGTTTTTTTTTTTCTTTGGAGAGGCTGAAGCCTCCTCGTGTCTGGGTGACTCGGGTTGTGCCCAGAGCCAGGGCTAATTAGCAGAGCAGGCTGATTTAAAGCAAATTAATCGTGAATTTCTCTGTGCCCTGTCAGATGCCCACGCCGTGTGGCACCTCTTCCCACTCCCCACCCAAACGATTCCACGTGGGATGGAGCCAGGCTGGGGGGGATTCACCTGGAGAAGGGAAAGCTCCAGAGAGACCTGAGAGCCCCTTCCAGGGCCTGAAGAGGCTCCAGGAGAGCTGGAGAGGGACTGGGGACAAGGGCTGGATTAGGGATCACATCCCACAGGTCCAGCTCCCAGTGAGGGTTTAACCCTCTCTGTGGGGTCAGGGAGCTTGGAAAACAAGGACTTGGCAGGAATTCCCAGCCCTGGGCCAAGGTGGGAAGCCCTTCCTGGATCCCTGTCTGGACCACTACACAGGACAGAATCCCCAGGGATGCATTCCAGCCTGGGAAAATCGGGATGGGAGACAGGACCAGGGAGCTCCAGAGGTCAAAGCCCTTTTAGGTTGGAATGGGGAGCAGGGGAGCACTGACCCCTCCTGCCCTGGGGGAGTGTGGGAAAGCTGGATGGGATGGATCCAGAGGGATGGATCCAGAGGGATGGATCCAGCCAGGAAAGGCTGTGGTGCAGCAGCAGGGATGCTCTGGTAGCATTTGGCTGGAGAGGCCCAGCAGCTCCATCCCTGCTCCTGTCCCTCTGTCACCCCCCAGGCCCCTCAGCAACTGCTGCCCTGCCACTTCCCTGCATCCCCCCCTTCCCTGCATCCCTGCTCCTGTGCAGCCCCCCCAGGGCTCCATCCTGGCCCCCCCATATCCCTGTGGGTGCCCCTGCAGCTGCCTTAACACCCCTTCATCCCATATTCCCACAGAATTCCCAGGACACTGCTCATCCCTGCAGTTCCCCCTCACCACCACCCTTCCCTGCACCCAACACCTCCCCCCCTGCAGCCCCACGACCCCCCTGTGCCACCCCATCCCCTGCATCCCTAAAATTCCCTTAGGGTACCTCATCCCCTGCACCCCTAAAATTCCCGGAGAGTATCACATTCCCTGCATCCCTAAATTCCCCACCGTCCCCCACCCCTGTGCCACACCCCGCCACTCCATCCTCCACCTCTTCCCGCATCCCCACGTTATCCCATCCCTCCCCCACCCCTGCCACCCTCCCTTCCCTCCCCGCATCCCGACGCTCCCACCTCCCCGCATCCATCCCCGCACGCTTCCCACACCCTCCTGCCTCCTCCTCGAGCCGCTGCATCCCCCTGCCACCCCCCACTCCCGGTACCACACCCCCGCATCCCTCCATCCCCGCATCCCTCCATCCTCCATCCCCGCATCCCTCCATCCCCTGCATCCCTCTACCTCCTACCCATCCTGCATCCCTCCCTCCACCCCCTATCCACACTCCGCCCCCCACAAAATCCCATCCTTCCCTTCCCACCCCCCTCCCCACTCCTCCCCACCTCCCGCAGCCCAATCAGGGCCGCTTGGAGGAATTCAAACCCCGGCCCCGCAAGCGCCGGCGGCGGCTCCGGGAAAAGGCTGCGCTGGGGAGGGACCGGCGTTGGGATCGGGATCGGGATCGGGATCAGGATCGGGATCAGGATCAGGAGCAGGAGCAGGAGCGGGGCCGGTCCGGATGGGCTTGGGGAGCGGCGGGGCGGGCGCGGCCCCCGCCCACTGCCCGGAGCGCAGGTGAGTCGGGGGGCACCGGGAGGGCACCGGGAGGGCACCGGCAGGGGCTGGGGGCACCGGGAGGGGCTCCCGGCAAAGTTTGGTGCCGCCCGGGGTGCGGGGGCGTGGGGGTGCGGGGGACACACGGATCGCTGCCGGTGCCCGGAACCCCCCGGTCCCCAAAGCCAACCCCGTGCGGGGCCGGGGGAGGGACGGAGGGGTGTATATAAAATAAAAAGGGATTTCTGACCGAAATATCGCTGTTAGATTAAAAAAAAATACACAAACAAACAACAAGTATGGGATGGGCATTTTGGCGAAGGAGAGAACAAGGAATTTCTGCAGCTGCTGCAAAGCTGCTGATTTGGGAGCTCTTGGGGAGATGGAAGACCCCGAGCGCTGAGGGGGCCTTTGGGGGTGCCCACCCCTGGCTCCGGGGAAGGGGAAGGAGGGAAAGTTTGGGATGAAACATCCCTCCTGGGGCCCGGAGGGATCCCACGGAGCCCTGGGATAGCGGGATGAGCCACGGAGCTGCCCCACGCAGCAGCCGGTGGCATTTCCCTCCCAGCCCCCTCGGGAAGAGCTGGGAGCTCCCTGGGAGCGTCAGCGAGCCCTGGCCGTGGCGGAGGGAATTCGGGAAGTCCGGGCTTGCCGGAGGCAGTTTTTGGTGCAGAGCCTCGTGTCGAACATGAGCTCAAGCTCCGGCAGCGCCGGGTGGGGGTTTGGTGGTGATTTGGGGCTTCCCTGCTCTTCACTCCCAATCCTGCCATTCCTGCCGTTCCTGCTTTCTCCCAGCTGTTGTTATTATGTGGCATAAACCTGCTCCGGGAGTGGCTCCGGGAGTGCCTGGGCAGGGCTGTGTGTGGCACAGGCGGTGGGGATGTGTTGTCCTGGCAAAGGGATGGGTGGGAAGCAGGATCTGCCCTGGTGGCTCTGGAGGCACAGCCCCAGCCTGCTCCTGGCAGGCAGCAAACGCCCAGATCTCTGTGGTTTGGTGTTTTTTTACCTGAGAAACCTTGGTAAGCTGTTGGGAATGTGTTCAGGATGGCTCCCCACGGCTCCAGTGCCCAGGAGAGGAAGGGAGAGACCGGGAATGGTCCCTACAAACATTCACGGGTGGAACATCCAACCTGCAGGGCCCCCCGGAAAGGAGCGGTGGGACAAGGGGAGATGGGCTCAGGGAGCTTGAGGATGGATATCAGGGAACATTTTGTCATGGAAAGGCTGGTCAGGCACTGGCACAGCTGCCCAGGGCTGGGGTGGAGTCCCCATCCCTGGAGGGATTTAAAATCCTTGTGGATGTGGCACTTGGGGACATGGTCAGCGACGGCCTTGGCCGTGCAGGGGGAGCGGCTGGACTGGATCTCAGACACCTCTTCCAGCCTAAACAATTCCATAATTCTCTGATTCCGGCCTGCTCCAGGGGCCCCACAGCCACGCTCCCAGCCTGCTCCCGGCCTGGCAGCAGGAACTGCTGTCCCCAACGTGCCACCCACCTGTTGCAGGTGGCACCGGCCGGGCCGCGTTGCAGCTCCCGCCGCCCTCCCGGCTCTCCCGCTGCCAGGCAAATCTGCTCCTCGTTTCCCTGCAGCCCAGCCCTGCTGCAGAATACCAGGGCAGCATTCCCAGTGCCCAGCAGGGACGGGCTGGGCTGCACACCAGTGACCAGGGAGGGCAGGGCTGGAGCACCAGCAGGGCGTGGGCGGGCGCCGGAAAAAAGCCGGAGGGTTGGAGCGGCAGCCGTGGGTTTTTTTGATCAGCTCTCCTCCCCGCCACGGGTGACAGGAGCTGGTGACATCTTCTGGCTCGTGGCTCTGAACTCTCTGGAACTGCCAACTGTCAGTAAATCCTGAGCTGTGTTGTGGTTTTTTTTTGGGGAACAGCAGCTCCCTGGGAAGGAAGCGCCGTCAGGGCTGTCGGGCGCCCGGAGCGGCTCTGGTTCCACTGTAAATGTTCTCTCCGGGGAGGAAAATTGATGGAGCTGAATCTGATATTCTGGAGGGGAACTTAATGGCCATTAGGCTGGTTGTCTGCAGCCCTGAGTGCAGGGCTGTGCTGGTTGAGTCAGGATTAAAGGATGGGGGAAGAGGGATGTGCTGGAAGGGCGAGGGCTGCTCCAGGGTGGAAAATGAACGGGGGCCTGGAGAGGAGCTGGAGGGGCTGATTGTGGCAGGGGGAGGTGGCACCTGCAGGGCAGGGCTGTGGTGACTCAAAGGGTGACCATAATGTGGGTGTGAAACAGCCACACCCCAGGGATCAGCATCCCTGAAATCCCAGATCCCGGCTCTGCTCCTGGTCGGGTTCTCCCAAGCCTTTGAGGGGCAGGATTTGGTCCCCGACCCTCTGCTGTCCCCAGGCTGAGCTGCTGGGACAGAGCAGCTCCTTGGGCAGGCCCAGGATCTGCCTGTGCCTGGGCAGTGGCATCTGCTGTGTCCATGGGCACTTCCAGCCTGGATGTGGCTCCTGGAGCTGCCTTGTTCTCTCCTTTCCCCGGCTGCCACTTCCCAGCAGTTCCTGGAGTGGCTTTTGCCCACTCCCATCTTGGTGACATCCAGCCAGTCCTTCCTCCCAGGAAAACAGGCCCCTGGTGGGACAGAACCCACCCCCTCCTGCTGCTCCTGGTGAGTGACACCCAGGATAACACTTCTGCTGGATCCTTCTCCAAGGGTTTTTCTGGAAAACCACCCGGCACGCCTCGGGAATTGAGAGCAAGGATCTTGTCAGATCCAGCCCGGGCTGGAGGGTTCTGGTGTGTGGGAAGGCAGGGTGGGGAGCTGGGATAGAGCTGGGATTTGGGTTTGGAGCCTGGGAAGCTCCCAAGATCCAGCACAGGTGTATCCATGGAGATGAACATCCTTTCCAGCCTTTATTTGCCTTTCCTGCCCTATCCTGGCAGGGTTTGATGGCAGTGTCTGCAGGGAGCCCTTGGCCTCACTTTCCATGGATCGCCCTCGGAGCGTCTCCTTTTGCTGTGCTGGGCCCTTCCCTTGTCCCAGCAGAAACTCCTTTTCCTCCCCACCTTGTCCTTTCCCATCAGCAGATGTTGCTGCTTCCCAGGGAAGGACAAAGGGACGCAGGGAGCGAAGCCACATCTCCCTGGGGAACCACGAAGGACACGGGGTTTCATCCTGAACAGCCTTGTTTCCTCCTTCTGTAGCTCCCCTTGGGACCTGCTTCCTTCACTTGTCCTTTTATTTTTGATTTTTCCTTTTATTTTTAATTTTTCCATTTATTTTTAATTTTTCCTTTTAATTTTTCCTTTGATTTTCATTTTTTAATTTTGATTTTCATTTTTAACTTTAATTCTTATTTTTAATTTTTTCCTTTTCTTTTTACCTTTCCCTTTAAATTTTTCCTCCTATTTTTAACTTTTAAGTTTCCTTTTTTAATTTTCCTTTTTAACTTTTATCTTCCGTTTTTATTTTTAATTTTTCTTTGATTTTTCATTTTTTCTTGTTTTTTTTTTTATTTTTATTTTTCCTTTTCTTTCTAATTTTCTATCTCTAAATATAGAGAGAGATATGTAGAGATATATATATATAGATAGATATAGATATAGATAGATAGATATGTATATATATAGATATATAGAGATATATATAGATAGATAGATAGATAGATATGTATATATAGATATATAGAGATATATGGGCATGTAGGCTGATATATACATATAGGTGTATATATATATATTTTTTTTTAATATATATATACCCCTAAAATTGTACATAAATATGTTTGGCACAGGTTGGGCAGAGCAGCTGTGGCTGCCCCATCCCTGGGAGTGTCCCAGGCCGGGTTGGAGCTGTCCCTGCCCACGGCAGGGGGTGGCACTGGGTGGGTTTTGAGGTCCCTCCCACCCCAAACCAGCCTGGAATTCCGTGCCGGTGCAGACACGGGTGACCCCCACAGGGGTGGCTTTGCCATCCCATCCTCCTTGTCCCAGTTTTCCTGGTGGCCTCGGGCTCCTGGCCCCGCTCGGGGAGGGGTGGGATGAGCCGTGGGATGGATGAGCCGTGGGAGGTGTCGGCGACACTCGCGGGGTTGAGGTGGGAAATGAACCCCGCGGAGCTGCCCAAGGGTGGGAATCGCTGCTGAGCCCGGAGCCTCCCGTTCCTGGGGAAGTGCCCGAATTCCCAGGCTGTCCTGCCGGCTCAGACCTGCATTGCAGGGCTGGGATTTTGGTTTAATTACGTGGGGCACGTGCTAACGAGGGGATTAAGGCCCCGGACGGGTGAGTGGTGACCGCCAATATTCCAACATTCCGTGCCTGTTCCAAGGTCTGCTGTTTTATAACACTCCTGTCCCTCCCTCATCCCTGCCCTGTGCCTGGAGCAGCCTCCTGGCTCCCTGCATTGGGATTCAGGGATGCTGGGAATGCACCACTTGGCCCAAGAACTCCTTCCCACCCATCAACCTTGCCCGTGGAATTGAGGGATGTGGAAACACCTGGCATGGCCCTGGGCGCTCCCTGCTCGCTGGTTTCTGCTTTGGGCACTTCTCCAGTGGAGATCAGGATGTGCTCCAGGTCTGGATGTGTTCCCAGGAGGGGGATGAGGGGTCAGGGGTGCTCTGCCTGCCAGAGGAGGGTCCCAGTGGGATCTCCATCCTGGAGATCCTCCTCGTGCCAGGTCGGGAGCACACACGGGGTGTGCCCAGGGCACTGGAGGAGCACGGTGGTGGCAGAGCTGGCAGCTGCACCAGCAGACCTTTCCCAAGAGCCTGACTCTGCTTGGTGGGCTCGGAGTAAATCCCGTGGGAGCTGCGTGGGATCAGCACCACCCACACCCCCCCTTCCAAGAGCAGAGCTCAGCTCATCCCAAGGGAGAGACCCTCGTCCCCAGTCCCCAGGGGAACTTTGCCCTCCCCTGGAGGTGCCAGGGCAGACACCACGTGTGCCTGGGCTGTGATTCTCTCTTCCAGTAAGAGCAGTCTGGCCGGAGCAGTGGGATCCATCCCAACCTGCTTCCAGGAACGAGCCTGGGAGAGGCTGGAGCACGGCGGGGAAGCAGCTCAGGCAG